GTCGACCACTCAGATAATTTGCCGACCACCGTTTGAGCCTCTGTGGGGGAGAGGAGGCCTCTATATCTTCTAGTAGCGTGGAATGGCAGACGGTGTCAAACGCCTTTGACAAGTCCAACGCTACTAGAATCGTTCTCTCACAGGGACGGTTACGGTTAAGGCCACGAGTTATCTGAGTGTTTATGGCGTTAAGTGCTGTTGTTGTACTGTGCACTTTACGGAAACCATGCTGATGCTTCGCTGGGGTCAGGTGATTTGTGAAAAACGGGAGTAGCAAGGCCTCGAGTGTCTTCGCTACCGGGGAAAGGAGTGTAATCGGACGATACGAATCTCCTTTGTTGGCAGGTTTTCCCGGTTTGAGCAGTGGGACCACTCTCCCCACCTTCCAGATGTCTGGGATGATGAGAGTGGCCATTGACAAATTGAGGACCTCCGTTAGGTACGCTACCCCCGCAGGACCCAAATTTTTCAGCATCAGCATGCATATTCCGTCGGGACCCATGGCTTTGGAGGCTTTCGCCTTCCCGATGGCCACCTGAACTTCACCGCAAGTGAAAGCATGGGGGGCACAAGTTGTTGGCAGTTTGTGCAGCCTTCTGGTCACTCGACGCTTGGCTTTGTCCACCGGAGGATGCAGTATGAACTGCCGGCTAAAAAAGCTCGCGCATCGCTCCGGGTCCGACGAAGCATGGTCGCCGAAGGAAATTTCGACTCTGTCGTCGTGCTTCGTCGGATTAGACAATGACCTCACGGTTGACCACGACAGCCGGTTCTACGTACCGGAATGACTCGGGTTTCACCCGACCAAGGGCTGTTGTTTCGGCGATCTAACCCCGTTTAGGTCGGCGAAGTATCTTAGAAGTTTTAGATCGTCTTTTAAATTGGTGTGAATATAATAAACTGTCTTTGAATGTAAAAAAGTGCTTTAAGATGACCTTATCTAAATCTCAAAATACCCTTACTTCAAATTACTACCTGGTAAACCATCAGCTTACTTCTGTTAGTGAATTTGTAGATCTTGGTGTTGTGTTTGACTCGAATTTTTCATTTATAAATCATGTTTGTCATTTACTCCCAAAAGTTTATAGTAATTTAGCATTTATTCGTAGATATGCCAAGGATTTTAGAGACCCTTACACTCGGAAAGCATTATTTAATTCGTTAGTACGATCTAAACTTGAGTATGCCTCTATTATATGGAGCCCTGTTTATAATTGTCACGCCTCTAGGATTGAGCGAGTTCAAAAGGTGTTTATTCGATTTGCCCTCGCTTCTCTTAACTTCTCAGATCCGATTCCCTCATATTACTCCCAGTGTAAACTAATAAATTTGCTATCATTGGAAAATAGAAGGCGTACCCAATTACTCTTATTCGTCTTCGATCTTATCTCTGGCTCCATTGACTGCCCATCTCTTCTTGAGCAGGTTACCTTTAATGTGCCTCTCAGAACTCTTCGCTCTCACATCCCCTTCTACGTTCCTGCAGTTAAGACTAACTACTCATCTTTTGCGCCTATTTTTCGAGGCCTTGTGGAATTTAACAATATCTCAAAGAGCTTAGATATCGACTTTTCGTTTCCAAGAAGTCTTTTTAAATCATCTCTTGAAACCTATTTTCGTAATTGTACATCTACTAGTCACCGTTAATACTTTTAAGCCTACTTCTAGTCTGTAAGATTGTAAATCATAGACTGAATAAAGATGAAATATGAAATATAATATGATAAGAATCTTCTATGTTGGCAGGTTTCCCCGGTTTAAGCAGTGGGACCACTCTCCCCACCTTCCAGATGTCTGGGATGATGAGAGTGGCCATGGACAAATTGAGGACCTCCGTTAGGTACGCTACCCCCGCAGGACCCAAATTTTTCAGCATCAGCATGCATATTCCGTCGGGACCCATGGCT